ACCCTACAGCAATACTAGTCTGCTTCTCTCCTAAGTTCTCTAGCACCTCAGGGGCTTACCTAGCCTTAACAAGGACAGCAGAGCCGATCAGGGAACATTTCAGGCCCAATCAGAATTGGTAAGGGCAGGGTGGGGGAGTGGAGATAAATAGAAAACTATGTCTCAGTTGCACTGGCAAGTCAATTCAAAAACAGGTACACAAATTTTTTTTTTTTTTTAGTTTTTTTTTTTTTGAGACAGGGTCTCCCTACAGCCACAGATGGCCTGGAACTCACTATGTAGACCAGGCTGGCCTCAATTAGCAAGATTCACCTACCTCAGCCTCCTGTGCTGGGAGTAAGGCGTGCACCACCACACCCGGTACACAAGTCTTTAGAGCCCTTGACAGCTCATCCATAAAGGGCTGCTTTTTAACTGATGTTTTCTGGAATGTCACCTGCCCCCATATTGTGACCTCAAGGTCTAAGTTCAAGGCACACTGCAGAGAAGCCTCAAAAATGAGCTGTTCACTACACGTATTGAAATATCACATGGAACCCCACTAGTACATACAACTAATGAACATTTATTACTTTTTAAATATTTTATTTATTATTTTTATTTTATGTGTATGAGTGTATTGCCTGCATGTATGAGTGCACCCATGTAGTGCAATGCCGCGGAGGTCAGAGAGGGCGTCGGATTCCCCTGGAACTGGAGTTAAGGATGGTTCGTAGCCGCCATGTGGGTGCTGGGAATCGAACCCGGGTCCTCTGTAAGAGCAGTCAGTGCTCTTAATCGCTGAGCCGTCTCTCCAGCCCCATATACGAGAGTTTTTCCTGCCTGTATGTAGGTGTACCCGTGTTATACAATGCCCCTTGGAGGTCAGAAGAGGGTGTCAGATCCCCTGGAGCTGGAGTTACAGATGGTCGTTAGCTGCCATGTGGGGGCTGGGAATCAAATCCCAAACTCTGCAAGAGCAGCCAGTACTCTTAACAGCTGAGCCACCTCTCCAGTCTCCATAGTTCATACTCCTAAAAAATATTATTTTGAGTAGTAAATGATCAACTTTCACAAAGTCTCCCTCATCAGACTTTTGACTTATGTTACCAGATTCTGCTTCATAGTCATTCACTAACACTGGAGATTCGGTATCAGGACTTCCAGCCAAAGAGCTCTCGGGAGTTCCCTGAGCAGATTTAACTTCTTTGACTCTAGGCACTAAGGTTTCAATTTCAGTTAACGGTAATGGCAAAGGATCAGGCTGTTTAGCTGAATCAGTAGTAGTAACCACTCAAACTGACAATATATTCAGAGGCAGATCTAAGGAAGAAAATGATAGAAGAACAAAAAAACCATTTATTTGGTGAAATATGTGAAATGCAGACTGAAGAATTAGCTGGAAATTCTCAGATATTGAAAGAACCTGAAACAGTGAGAGCCCAGAGTATATGAACTGTCTTCAGAGACTCATCTAACTCTCTTTACATAGTCAGTACATATATACAAATGACACTAAATAAACATCTGTTTGACCTGTATAAAATGTAAATTAGTTTGACACTGCATTTTTGATGAGTGTGCTAATTTCTGCCCATGGCAGTTTAAAACATCAGAATCTGAATCCTGGACAGATTCAAACCTTGACACACTGTGGCATTTTTCTTTTTTTTTTCTTTTTGTTTATGGTCTTGATTCTGCACCCCTTCCCTTATTGTGATGCTTGGCAATGTTAAATTTAAAATGTCATTTTAATAAAGTTTGAACTTGTCTGTAAAGTAAAAAAATATTTTAAGTTTTTTGAGACAGTCTGGCATTGAACTTGCTTGTTAACCATAAACTCCTGATCCTTCTTCCATTTCTCAAGTGCTGGGATTACAGTCTATACTACCCTGCTGAGGTACTGTACTCAACAAGAAAATGATACAAAATGTGTAAAAGGGGCTGGAGAGATGGCTCAATGGCTAGGAGCACTGGCTGCTGTTGCAGAAGACCGGGGGATCGGTTCCCAGCATCTACATGGCGGCTAACAACCATCAGTAGCTCCACTTCTAGGGGATCCAACACCCTCTCTGACCACCGAGGGTATTGCATGACAAGGTGCACTTAAATACATATAAAATAAAAAATAAAATACTGAAAAAAATGTGGAAAGATTTTTCTTTTTCTTCCTGTGTAGCCTGGCTGGTCTAGAATCCATTCTATAGACCAGGCTGGCCTTAAACTCATAGAAATCCCCCTGCTTCTGCCTCCCAAGTGCTAGAATTAAAGTCATGTGTCACCACACCCAGCCTAATTCAGACTTTTTAAGAGAGAAATTAGGATTTTCTTAAAATACAGAAACAAGGAGATAATTAGCATACTCTCCCTCCCCCTCTTGAGGCTAGGCCCTTCCCTCTTGCCCAGACTGACTTGCAACTTGCACTGTTCTCCCGTCCTAACCTCCCAAGCAATGAGGACTAAAGGCATGAGCTACCACACTTGGCTGCAAATCTACTCCCATTGGTGTAGTTTTAAGACTTTCAGAGTCTGGGTGGGATTTCAGCTCCAAGGAATCTAAGGTGAATACAGTTAGTTTAACTCTATAAGAAGGCACATGTGACTGGAGAGATGGCTCAGCCATTGAGCATGCTTGCTACTTTTCCAGAGGACCTGAGTTTGGTTCCTGGCACTGATGAATGGCTTACAAACACCTGTAATTCCAACTGCAAGGAATCTAACACTCTCTTTTGGCCTCAGTGGGTACTCACATGTGGCATTCACTTACACACACAAATAGAAATTATTAGTCACACATATAAGGCACATGAATTATGTGTAATATGTTGTCCAAGTATGTAAATGAGAACTTATATTTAAGAAACTGCATGTATCAGAAGAAATGCAGTGTTGAAATATTGCTTCAGAAGATTAAGTAGGTAGCCAGGCATGGTGGTGCACGCCTTTAGTCCCAGCACTTGGGAGGCAGAGGCAGGCAGATCTCTGAATTCTAGGCCAGCCTGGTCTACATAAGTGAGTTCCAGGAAAGCTGGGGCTACAAGAGACCCTGTCTCAAAAAGAGGAAAAAAAAAAAAATTAAGCAGGTCAATAATTTGAGTCTATTAAGGGCAAGGACCCCAAAATAAAAAGAATGGGCCTGGGGCTAAAGCTAAGTGATACAGCACTTAATTAGCATGCAGAAGCCAAAAGAAAATAAAAGGATGCAACATATTTTCTTAAAAATCTTGTAGTCGAGGGGCTGGAGAGATGGCTCAGCGATTAAGAGCACTGACTGCTCTTGCAGAGGACCAGGGTTCGATTCCCAGCACCTACATGGCGGCTACGATCCGTCCTTAACTCCAGTTCCAGGGGAATCCGAAGCCCTCTTCTGACCTCCTCGACATTGCATGACACAACACGGGTGCACTCACATACAAGCAGGCAATTCACTCATACACATAAGATAATAAACATTTTTTAAAAACTCATACATATATAAGTGTAGTGTGTTCTATGCTGTAAATCACAATCCTCTAATCTTAATCTACCAGATTCCAATTTATATCAAAAGCTGATTTGGCAATGTTTCAGGCTCTAAGGAAATGCTGATCCTTACACAATCTTGAAACCCTCCTGACATGGGGAAAGGTTATTGGCACTCCTCAGGGGATTGGCATGAGATTTTTACAAAATCTAGATTTTGTAAGTGAAAGGTCACTGAGGAGCCTAACAGCAAAATACAAATGTAGGAATTATCTCTTTAAAATTTTCAAATCAATTATTTATTGCAGCCATGTAAAAAGAATTGTTTATTGATAGGTTACAGGAGCTAAACAAGAAAAAAGAAATTGAAAGCTGTCAATAAACCAGATCAAAAATAACGTGCAGTCTTAAGCAGAATATCCTTCTGTGAACAGCAGGTCAAATAGCCTATTGACAGTATTTCTGTAGGGTGTATGTTTTCCATCTTGCCAAAGTAAATGAAATAGCATAAAAATGGTCAGTATAGTGTAAGTTATTTTTAAAAAATGAGAATTGTCTTTCAGTAAGATTATTTTTCCATATTTATATTCGTGATATGAATTCACTACCAAGGTTTGTATGAGCTTGAACTCAGTCTGCTAAAAATCATCTGACTTGATATGACCTTTTGCGACCATACAACTATGCCTTCTCAACTACAGAAGGAACTAGGGATGGTCACTTTCGTTTTGCAGTGTTTGGTATTTGCTTGCTGTGAGATAGCAGTTCATGTAGTCCAGGCTAGCCTTGAACACCTGTCTTTCTGTGTCCTCCTAAAAGCTGAGCTACCACACCTGGATCTCATTACCCTTTGTAACAGGTTTTTATTAAAGGAAAAACAACAGTCAGATCAAATGAAAGATATTCCTTGACATAATGACACACACTTATAATCCCAGCATTACCTACATAGTGGGATGGAGGCTAGCTTGGGTTACATGAGACTGTCTATAAACAAACAAACATAAAAATAAATAAATAGAAAATTCTAGAATTCCACTTTAAGCACAAAGTCTAGAGATCCTTCAGGCAAAATTCATTCTCAGTTTAGACTCTGCTCCAGCCAGTGTTTCAGGCTCTGGCTCCATGCTGCAGGCCTAATACTGATTAAAAATACTTGGGCTATGTGCAAACCGCCTCCGACCGGCACCGCACGGTCCAACAGGTCTACATTACGCAAATACAGAGAGCCTTTCTGTAGTTACCGAAGCTATTTCTGAGCTTAGGAATGGAAACCACACGTCTTGGAAACCGACCCGAACAAAAGCGTTCTGCACCGGTCCCGACGCAGACCGGACGTCGGGGACGAGCGACAGGCCGATGACACCTGGGTTTTCCGGGCGTGACAATGAATAACGGGGCCGCAGGACCGGGCCGGACGCCCGACTGCGCCGCAGAGAAGAAGCCCGGGACCGCGCGGGAGCCCCAGTGGCGTCCTCAGCGGAAGGCCCGGGCTCCGAAAGCGCCGCCAGCCGGGCCAGGCCGCCGCCTCCCGCCCCGCGCAGCCGCCCCGCGCTCACCTCCGCCCGTCCCGCGTTCTCCTCTCCCAGGGCCGCGGACACAGCGTTCGTCTGGGCAGGGCCGGAAAAGGGCTCCGCAGCGCGGCCCGCCGGTACCGGCCGGCCGCACAGCCCCGCACTTCCCTCGGGAGCCGCCGCTCCTTCCGGCGTCTTCGGACGCCTCGGCGGGCGGCTTGGGGAGGGGGAGGGGCCTCTCGTAGGCCACGCCCCGAGGCGGGGTTCCAGCCCGGCCGGAGGCTGCCCCGGGGTTCGGCTGCCCCGGAGCTAGAGCTGACGAGTGCACCGCATCCCCACCCTCCGCAGTCACCTGACGGCTCCAGACAGTCCTCTCCTTGCTTGGCTGAGTCTGCATGACTGCTGGCCTGGGCGAGGCCTCCTGTTTGCAGCCCAGGTGGCTCGCTCTTGTAATTTTAGCCCTAGAGCGGCTGGGGCAGGAGGAATGCAGTGACTTGGAGGCCAGCCTGTCTCAAATACAGAAACAAAAACAACAAACTAAAGAACTGCTAGACCTACCTCAGTTCTATTCCCATCCCTTACCTTTCTTCTTTTTTAAAAAAAATTTATTTATTTGGGGGTCTGGAAAGATGGCTCAGCGCTTAAGAACACTGGTTGTTCTTGCAGAAGACCTGGGTTCGTATCCTGGCACCCACATGGCAGCTAACAACTGTCCATAACTCCAGTCCCAGAGGATCCGACTGCCTCTTCCGACCTCCGCAGGCATTGCACAACACGGGTGCACTTACCTCCATGCAGGCAATACAGGCGTACACATTAAAAATTTTTATTAATTTATATTTTATGTACATGAGTGCATTACCTGCACTTATATTAGTGCACCTGTGCTGTGCAATGCACACGGAAATCCGAAGAGGGCATCAGATCCCGTAGAACTGGAGCTACACACTGCTGTCAGCTGCCGTGTGGGTGCTGGGATTCGATCCCCAGACTCTACAAGAGCAACCAGTGCTCTTCACTGCTGTGCCATCTCTCCAGTCTGCTTTTCTTCTTCTTTAAGACCTAGATTCTCTGGGAGCAATTGTGCTTTCCTTTTCCTCACAAGGAAAGAAGAAATTAATCTCTACCATTTTCCACTAGGTCAAAATCAAGATGAGATGAAATATTTATTGAAACCCGTGGTGTCTGCTTAATGCCTAGAGCAGTGGAAAAGACTTCTAATTGTATGTCTGTGAAAATCCCCTAGATTGGGCTGTAGAAATGACTCAGCAGTGAAAAGCACTGGCTGCTCTTTGCAGAGGACCTGCTTCAGTTCCCAGCATCCATATGGCAGCCAACAACCTTCCATAACTCCAGTTCCAGGAGAATCCCACACCCTCTTCTAACCTCTGCAGGCATTGCATAATACAGGTGTCCTTACATACCTGCAGGCAAAACACTCATATGCATGAAATAAAAATAAATGTTTAATCCACTGGATTAATTTTAGGATATGTAAACCAAAAAAAAATCACTAACCTGAAAAAAAGTTATTAGCTACACATGGTGGTAGTGTAATCCAGCATTTGGGAGGCTGTGGCAAGGCTGTGCCAAGTTCAAGACCAGCCTAGATTACAGAGTGAGACATGTCTCAAAAAAAAAAAAAAAAGTTTGCATTTTCTTTCTCATTACCTCCAACTCTTGGATCTCTATGTGGGAGCATGTATCCAAGTGTGCAAAATGCTCAGTCAGGAGCAGGTCAGAACTACAGAAGCTGACATGGTAGAAATAGAAGGCATTAATCATGGTACAGCATGCTGTGCAGGGCTAGACAGTTTGCAGTAGGCGTGTCCCCCAGAGGTAATGGACACTCCCCCTTTGGAGGGGCCCTGTGGATGCCAATCCTTCTTTTTCAGCCTATTTCAAAGTATTGTACATAACCCAACTTGATGGAACACAACTTTAAATCCAGCACTTGAGAGACAGAGGCAAGGTGGTCTCTGTGAGATTGAGCCAGCCTGGCCTACATAGCGAGTTTCAGGCCAGCTGGGACTACAGGGGTACCCTGTCTCAAAACAATAAATCAACAAGAAACCAATCAAAATATTTCACTTTATACATCAACAATGTGGTTGTTTTCTGTTCTAATGAACATCATCTAAATGTTTTAAATATTTATATAGCAATCCTCTACACTGAAGTAGCAAAAAGATTATGAAAAATCATTTGTTCCATGGTCCCTTGTGACAAAATACTTATGAACTCCCTGACATGAGTTTTTAATTTTTTTTTTTTATTTTGTGTATGACCAAATTACCTGCACATATATTAGTGCACCTATGTCATGCAATGCCCATGGAGGTCAGAAGAGGGCATCGGATCTGGAGTTACAGAGAGTTGTTAGCCACCTCAGGGGTGCTGGGAATCAAACACCGTCCTCTACAAGAGCAGCCAGTGCTTTTAACTGCTGAGCCATGTCTCCAGCCCCCCACCCCCCCACCCCGGACATGAGTTTTTCAGGATGAGTTGGGAAAAGACAACAGATCTAAATTTTCTGGTGTTGCCTGTGATGACAAGTGTCTGTTTGATATCTAAAGCACTGGACGAGGCTTGCCCTCTCATTACTAGTGGCAGTCACCAATGTGCTCGTATAAGAGTTTTAATTTTTATTGCATAATATTTTCTAGGGAGTCCATTTCTATTTGCCCCAGATAGAGGGGGCAACAACAGACCAAAGAAATAATCCCATCCAAGTACAACTTGGTGAACCAGTGAGTTTAATTGGGGTTACTTAGACATGCAAGGGCAACTTAAGAGCAGCTACACCACCAATGAGTTCCTTATATTCCCCCAGCAAGTGTTAACCAATTATATATCCTCAGAGATGGGGGTGGGAACTCATGGACCTTGTGTGACCTTCCCTCCTTCCACAAGGGAATGTTCATGGGTCCAATCTTGTGAAGGTTTCATGCTGACAATCATAGCTGCTCTGATTTCAAGACATTAGCAGCCTTGTCATGCCCAGAAGATGTGTCATGGAGCTGAAGCTTGCCTTAACTGCCTTCACCTCCCAAGGACTTGGATTACAAGCATGAGCCATCATGCTGGGTTCAGAGATACTTTTAGAGATACTCCCAATCTGTTCTTTGCTAACTTCTATGTAGATAATCTCTATTTATTTTCTCTGTCTATGTATATTTTTCTTTCTAAAATTTATCTAAGTATCTATTTTAGTTTTATTTATTTTTATGTATGTATATGTATGTATGCTTGCTTGTCTGTATGTTCACCACTTGTGTACTTTGTGCCTGTAAAGGTCAGTAGAGTGAGTCTGATCCCCTGGAACTGGAATCACTGGTGGTTGTGGGAGCTGGAAACAAAATCTGGGTCCTCTGCAAGAGCAGCAAGTTTCTCCAGCCCCTATTTAATTGTTTTTTGTTGTTGTTGTTTGTTTGTTTTTTGGTCTTTTTTGAGACAGGGTCTCCCTGTAGCCCCAGCTGTCCGCCTACCATATTCTGGAATTATAGACATAGACCCAGCAATGGCCTTTGTTCTAAGAGCCTTCTAGCATTTGCCTTCAATGTGCTTCCTTGATAAATTTTTGATGTTTATTATATCTGTCCTACATACTGTTTAGTTACAGACCAATTATTTTTTGTTGTTGGATTTTTTGTTTTGTTTTGTTTTTTGTGTTTTTGAGACAGGAACTGGAACTCGCTATGTAGACGAGGCTGGCCTTGAACTCATAGAGATCTGCCTGTCTCTGCCTCCTGAGTGCTGGGACTAAAGGTGTGCACCACCACATCTGGCTCTAATTGTTTCTTTTTAAGATTTATTTTGGAGGGACTGGGCATGGTAACAAAGGCAAGCAGATCTCAAGGCCAGCGTGGTGTATGTAGTGAGTTCCAGGCCAGCCAGGGCTACAGAGAAGCCCTGTTTCAAACAATAACAAAAAATAAAAAAAGAAAGAAAGAAAGAAAGAAAGGTTTACTTTTAGGTATGTATGTGTATATGTGTGTGTTTATGTACACATGAGTGTAGGTGCCCATGTGGAGGCCACTAGAGGGCATCATAGTCCCCAAGCTGTAGTAACAAGAGGTTATGAGCTGTCTAATGTGGTACTGGGAACTGAACTCAGGTCCTCTGCAAGAGCAGTACATGCTATTAACCACTGAGCAATCTCTCTAGGCCTGACATTATATAGTCTTTTCTGAGTACTTAGCATAAAGTTTATCAGCACATAATTCCTTTTACTTTTTCGCATGTGTATGTGTATATATGGTGTCCATTTGTGTGTATGTGTCTCATGTGTGGGAGCACATTTGTGTTCAAATCAACATGCACATGGGTGAGCATGCATGTGGAAACCAGACCTTATACATTGAGGCAAGGTCTCAGCCACTAGCCCTATTGAGAATCAAGCTGCTGTGTATATTTCTGCAAAAGTTTTTGTGTAGATATGTTTTTAGAATATTTTTTCTTCAGTATTTCTTAGGAATGGAATTTTTGAGTCATGTGGTAATTCTATGTGCAACACTTTTGAGGAAGTGAGTTTGCACTATTTGGATATGTGTATGACCACTGTACTCTGAAAAGATGTTGTAAACTAGGTTCTACGACAGTACTTTGGATTCTCAATGCCTGGGTTGACTTAATTCTAAATTACACAGGGACCCTGGAATGCTGAGTAGATGGTGAGAAAAGAAGACATAAGTAGGGAGAGGGCAGCAGAGAGGAGACTGAGGAGTTACAAAGGGCCTTACAGCTGGGCGTGGTGGCGGTACATGTCTTTATTCCCAGCACTTGAGAGTCAGAAGCAGGCAGGTCTCTGTGAGTTTGAGGCCAGCCTCATGTACATAGTTCCAGGCTAGCCAGGGCTACATAGTAAGACCATGTTTGTGACCTTACAAATCTGGGTTCTTCAGGTCTCAAGTCTTCTGTTAGTTCTTAAGTGTGAACTATTTCACACAGAATTCATTCTGTACATTTTACGCTATTCCTCATCTAGTCATAAGACTTTGGTATTGGCACTCTCTTCTCTGTGTGGCTAAAGGAAAATTTGGAAAACAGAAAGGATTATTTTTCCTTTGATAGGAATAGTAACATTTGCTCTCATTTTTTTCTCCTAAGAGCTTTTTGGTTAAGAT